TTATTGTTCATTTGATTTTTCATGTGTGCTAAAATTTATCTTACGTAGGTTGGTCTCCTACATTGGTTGCATATATGTTTAAAATTATTGTCTCTTCCTCTTGCAGTTTTCTTTTAACTACTATGTAGTTACTGTCTTAGTATGTCTTTTAATCACACTTGGTTTGAAGTTAGTAATGTCACCAACCAAAATAGCTACTTCTATTTTCTGGTTTCCTGTGGCATGGAAAATTGTTTTCCATTTTTGACTTTCTGTCTGTGAATTTCCTTTTCAGCTAAAATGTGTTTCTTATATGCAGCATATTGTTAAATTTTGTTTCTTAATCCACTCTGCTGGCCAGGTTTACAGGATCCCATGGGCTACTCAGAATCCACCTAAGTTTTCAAAAGGTAGGACCAGCACCAGAACAAACTCAGTGACTGCATTTTGGGGCCCAAGGGAAGCAGCTCACCAGAGTCTTGTGGTCCATACAAAGTCCTCCAAATTGTCTAAATGGTTGTACCAGATCCTAGGAAAGCTCCAAGCCTGTGAGCAATGGGCCCACAGACTGAAGCTGCCTAGAATTTTCCTAAGTTCTTAAACTGTTGGCCCAGCATTAGTACAAGCATCAAGCCTACATGCTAGGGCCCAAGTGCCAGAGCCTACCAGAGTCCCACAGTTCACCCAGATACCTCCAAAGTTCTTAAAATCTTGGAACTGCACCAGTACCAGAATTAATTATTTAAAGGAAAACCATCATAAAGGGCTTCTAGACAGAAATGCAGATAGTTTCTGAATGTGGCTACTATAGGTCTGCAGTACCAAAGGTGCTAGATTGCTGACCTGTATGGACGCAGATAGAAATTCCCTGGGGATATAGCCTTGCACAGAAGAGAACAGTTTTCTCTCTTTCCATTATGATTGGAACTAAAAGTAGCCTTTACAGTTTTTCTCTTCCTGTTGATGAATTTAAAAGACTATTTCCATTCTCAATTAAAAAATTGTTTAATTACAGATAAACATTTTCCCTAACATTTACAATAATGGAAGTATTTTTAAAAGATTACTTAAAATAGCTTATTTTTCACAAATGAAAACATTGCCTCTTGTATCAAAAATTGTAATTTTCAGTGATAATAGTGATATTTTAAAGTTATAGTCAAAATTTTTATGTTTTTAGATTGTATGTAATAAATCTGTCTTGCATTCATTTAAATATTTTCTTCTTACCATTATATGGAATATTCTGCTGATATTTTTAAAAAAGTATGCAAGTCCTTAGTATTCTCTTGATTCCTAATGCAGTTATTTGTCTGTTTTACATTCCTAACTTTATTTGTTACAGAAAAAAGGTTTTGTATCTTACAAACATGTATAAAGGTTTGGAGTACAATTTGAGAGAACTATAATTTAGACAATTGCTTGATTTTGACATTCAATTTAAATAATGGCAGAATTAATAATGGCCTCCTAATGGATGAAAACTATGATAACTTCTTCATATTTGGGTCACATTATCCAACAAAGAAATATTATACCTCAAATTTTTCAGATGAACTCTGACTGATTATCAGAATTGGTATGAATATTAATTTACTTTGATGATTCAACCTATGTCTAATAGGGTCCTTTGACAATCATGGTGTCCTTTTGCAATGCCTTTGGTCATTAGGTGCAAACTATCATAGTTCTTTTTTCCTTCAATTCAACAGTAGTTATAAAAAATATTCATCCTTTTGGCATTCAACATTGACTGATTTCCCGGTTTTATTGATTGTAATTATCCTTCTGACAAATTAATTCACTTTGTTTCTGTTTTCACAGAGTGGTGCTCTTAGGGTAGAGGAGACTATGTGATGGCTTATTCCCAATATAGGATTTAAGTTTTTAACCTTAGAATCAAAATTCAATTACAAAATCAAAAAGGGGAATCAATCCCTCCCACTTCACTTGTATACTATTAACTTTTCAGATTCTAAAGAAGAGGCAAGTATAGCAGCAGGAATTCCCTCAGGTAAAAGAAAGACAAAAAAAGAGCCAACTTGAGGTTGAGGATATGCTTGTGTTTTGCTAGAAGATGCTGTTTGGCTGTAAGATCAATCTAGATTTTAAAAAGTTGAGAAAAATGAGGCTAGATCTGATCTGGGGGCTATTGAAGGAATTGACCCCGAATTCCCAGGAGATGGTAACCCAAATGGAATCAAAGGTCTAGATAAATGATAGAATATATAAAGATACAGGGCTAAAAGTTAACAGTATTCTTAAAACAGAATAAAACACAAAATAATTATATTGATTATAGATAAATGGTTGTACTCCTTCCAAATTCTTCTAAATAACTTCTGGTAACTGAAAATCAAAAAAATCTGACTAGGCAAATTATAATTCTAAATTTCTTTTTTTGTTGTTTTGTTTTATTTGTGACAGGGTCTTGGTATGCAGTTTGAGCACTTTTGTAGGTCTTAGACTAGTCTCAAACTCTCAGAGATCCTCCTATGTCAACCTCTCCAGCACTGGGATTACAGGTATCGTCACCCACCCAGTTCTGGGTCT